GGTTATGCCATTGCTTGCAAAGAACACCCAAGTGTAGACGATTTTGGGGAGTAGCAAAGTCAAAACCTGTATCCAATAATGACGCGTGATTTTTAATTTAAACAACACCTACCAGCTGGAGCCTTCCTTAGCTCAGTCGGTAAAGGCACAGCTACAAAGCAAGACCATTCTGGAGGTGGCTGGATTCGATTCCCGGTCCGGTCTAGTAATTTTTCGGGTAGGAAAATTTCTCGACTTCCCCGGGTATGATTATACTTGCCACACAATTATACTAATACAAAAATGGTACAGGCATCGAAAGCTCCCAACAAAATTAAACTGTGGAAGTGCATATAGAACTTTTAGGATAGGAACTTTTCATATGTATACAGACAACATCGTATTGGTGAACAGGGTATGACTTCCACTTTTAATGATCTATCTCATAATGGAAATAAAGAATCATTACGAAAGTTACTCCACCAAGCATGGTAAATTAAAATAATTATGTCAGCATTACCAGACGGTGACTTTTTTGCAGGAAGAAGACGTACGAGCGTTACATTACGGTCTACGGTTACTGTATCCCGCAAAACTTGCAAAAACGTACCTGGAAAGAGAGGAGAAAAAGGAAAGGATTAATTTTATTGATCGATGAGGTAATATATAAAAAAAAATGGAAAAATACCAGCTACTGTAAATAAATGATCGAATTTAATTTCTTTACAATGAAACAATGTAACAACGGGAATGTGAACACAAATACGCCATCGTTCAACGATGACGACAATCAATGGCATGTTTTTAATGCATTTCAGCATATCCGATAAATGAAACAACCTGGACAATCGTATCACAATAAAATCTTGACCCGGGTATAATTTCCGTCTAATGATACCCATCACGCAACGCTTGTTTACCTGTATTCGAAAGCATTGCAACTTTTATTTTCACCCGTTGCACTTCTGCAGTCCAGTTGTTATTTTGCTATTTCCCACCACATTCAGAATGCATGTCAATGTCTAGGGCGAGGAGATTGACGATTCGTTTTACTTTTCCTGATGTCAGGTATCGATTGTGTACTTGTTCCTGAGATGGTCACCATGCATGCAATATTATCGATAACATATGCAGAGGTGCTACCATCGGTCATTTTATGAGTGAATGAATATAAAAAGTATGAAGTATGAGTGCTTCATTCTGTAAAAAATATTTGCTATAATTAAAACCACCCTCCACTAATTCCGAAAAATGAGGTTGTGCAAAAACTGGTAAAGATTGATTTGTGTATGAATTACTATGGAAGGATCTTACTTTGGTTCTAGTTGTCCAAACGGTGTAAAATCAAATATGTGGCTACTATGACCATGCCACCTTTAGCTCAGTCGGTAAAGGCGTAGCTATAAAGTAAGAACTTACTGGAGGCGCCTGGGTTCGATTTCCGGTTTTTCGGTTTGGAAATATTCTCGCGATTGGTCAAGGCGACGATGCATCGAGTGATGTGCGTTATTCGAGTATCGGGGATGGTTCTCCCAGCAGCTGGTGCAATTTCGGTTCTTTTTATTTTTTTTCCTTGATTTGTTTTCCGTCGACCTTATTTTCCGTGTTGAGCACCAATGGTACCGACCCCAGGAAGGCATCAACTCATGAACCGGAGACCAACGGCTTTATTTCCCTTTCGAAGGCGTGATCAGAGATGTTATGCCTCAGAACATCCCGGCGGCGCCGACTGGGATTGAACCCAGGTCTGCTGATGTGAGAGGCAATCACGCTTACCACTACACCACCGGCGCCGCTATAATCGTGGTCCATTCACCTCTTTCTCGTTGCGTCATCCATCTGCACTCCACTGTAGATGGTCCGCAACAACTTCCGTTCGAAAACACCACGTCCTCCACGAGCATAGTCCAGATCTCTTGCCCTTGAGGACCACCACTATAATAACACTGCAAAATTGGGCGACTACGGTGGGCTGGGCTCGTCGATAGAATGCCGGACGACAACCCAGGGTTCTCGAAAGCAACCCAACAGGAACTAGAAGAAAAAGCGCGCAGCTAGCAAGATGGATCGACCCAGTAGAAGGCTACCTGCGGACCCTTCGCAGACTACTATTTGAATCAATACCACACTTTTCACTCTTACTGCACATTTAGAAAATTTAACGCTTTTAGCGCTTTATAACTAAGGACCGAACATCAGGGACGTAATTTTGATGCTTGGCCTACGAGCTTTATTTGTTAACTTTGTTTTGGTATTGGTAAAATCATTCGCGTTGACGATGACTCTGCAACTATTCACTCCCATAGGAAAAACCCCGTAAGCAAATGTCCAATTTTGTGGAACATAGCTCGCAAAAGCGTAAATCACTCGTAGAATGAGTAATTTTTTTTTCAAATAGGATTAAACGTCATTCATATTTGAGTGATATTTACTCATATATGAGTGACATTTAATCATATTTGAATAAACATTTACTCATTCTATGAGTGACTTACGTTTTTTTTGCGAATTTGAGTGATCGGGATTTAAATATAAGACATATTCATTTACCGTATAGGCCCTTCGAAAAACTATCAAGCCGAACAATACATTAGGTCCTAAGTAATATTGATCGATTCTCCTCGTAAACTTTCTCTGCCGTTAATAACTTGGCTACAAATCCGTTTCTTGCCGTTATTGCCGTATTAGATGCTAGATAATACCTTTTTTGATCAACTATGAGTTGAAAATAGCAGGAAGTGTCGATACATGGCCGTGGTAATGCAAAGAGAAAATCTACTAAGATAATCTGTCAATGTTACTTAGAAGCTAATGCATTGTTCGGCGTGCTATTACTTGACTTGACAGTTTGTTATATGTGTGATCGTGGGATGATCTACTTGGCTTTTATTTTTATTGTAAAAGCATCGTGATTTATGTTAAAACTCTGTCTCTTTCATCCTCATCAGTTGTTACGCCGAAAAGTAAAAGTGACGTCAAAAATGTGGTTACGTATGAATGATAAGGAGTGAAAAAAGCGCGATTTCACATGCCGATCCTTTGTATATCGAGGATCGTCTTCGATAGGACAGTTTTTTTTTTATTGGGTAATCAAGCTTAGTTTTCAAGACTTGACCCATTTGAAGAAATTTTGCTTCTATCTTTGACAATACGGCAGAAGAACTAGCCTATGGCAACTTGAACACTGGATTTCGTGTGTATTGTTTGAAGATAGTTATGGAATAAATGCTGCGACGTGTGCGCGTAGATAAAACCGCGTAGTAAACCGATTGAATGAGTAAATCCGTTTCGAACGAAATATCTGAATTATGGAGGTTACGAAAACCGCGCGAATTCCGAAAGCCGTGCGAGACAACAGAAGCGAGAAAAAATAAGCCTTTTATTTTAATTTAAAGAGTACCACCAAAATAAATGTGATAGCCTATGTTGACAAATTGATTAATTTTGGCTTCCTCCCTAGATATTCTACTTATTTTACTAGATTACTATTAGATTTGTAAACTTGACCCACATTAAAACATAAATTTATGATGCAAGCTTATGACATCATTTTATCTTAGAAGCGCATTCCAACAATCTTTTTTTTTAACCAGTTTTATATTGCAGTAACCTGTGTAGAACCAAAATGATTGTAGTCGACTATACAAAATGTTACTATAATTATTGGCCCATTTATGGTCCCTATAGAATGGCCATCACAACTGAACCGTGCATCGTGGCCATTTCCATCTTCCTTATCGCATTTTAAATACTGCATCATCTTTCGCATTAAACCTCGTACTTGCCAGGGAACACTGTACCTTATATACCCGGGTAGAAACATGCACGTGACAATCGCTCACCAAGCTCAAGTTCGAAAGCATACCTAACAGTAAATAGTATGATTTGCGGAAGCTTGTGCATTGCCCCGACTACTTAATTCACGGTCAAGCTAGCATTAACTGTAGCAAATGCGTCTACTATCCACCGCCACCGCCGTCTCGGTTGTTCATCCACGATGTTGAACGAGAGCAGACACGGATATTATAGATTAGTGCTTATACTGTCACATGAGAATTATTTGCAGTTAGCAGACAACCCGTCATTTGCCACACGTTTGTATTTCCTCTGTTCTTTTTTATAACTTCAATGTAGACTCCTAATAGTTCATGTTCATACTCAGGCTATCTACACCTGTAAGGATTGAGCAGCCTTGAACTTGCTGACCGTCATACGGTCATATACACCTTTACTGCTATTAAGTTGTTCCACTAAAAGCGGCTTGTTCTAACAAAATCACCTGCTCGTGTTTGAATACGACACTTTGGAGTAAAAGTGAAAGGCATTGCTGTTGTTGCTAATTTTAGAAGCATGTGCGGTTCACTCCGATTTGAACATGCGATCATGATGTGTTGCAAAGTAACGACCAGCACGTAACTTACAAAATACATTCATAAAAATATTCATTCAATGTTCCTTTATCATTGACGTCCTAGCGAATTTAAAATGCAACATTTTTTCACTAAGTAGCATAGCTGTACAGCATTGCCGATAAATGATACATCAATCTCCAAGACAACCACGAAGCTATTAGCTTACCAAGCCAGAAACTAATCAGAAATCCGATTTCACCACCGAAGAGCAATCGATAATAATCATTTAGTTCGGATTCTAGATCAGCCAAACCTAATCCGGCTCCGACAACTCAATGAGATCGAAATTGTTTAATTTATCGCTTCATTACTCGTTCGATATCAACGGACGGATAATAAATACCGGTTCGAGTTTTCCTAAGGCACTCGTGTTTTGCTCGAAGTACTTATACATATCTATACATATGTGCATAGCGAATTATAAATTTCTTAGGAAGACCAATCAAATGTGAAGGACGTCGAACGTTGCGTCACCATATTTGCTGATATTCTTATTTCTTTCAATAGCAGCAAGATAACGGATACCAATGTTTGGTTAGGAAACAATGTTTTGCTCAATGTTAGGATTTTTTCAATTTGGGATTTTTTTCTTTTCTATAAAACAAAACAGTATTCATGCTTTTTACAAACTTTACTATGACTCGGATCACTTGATACTACAATTCAAACAGTTCAACGTTCATTGCAAACACTGCTGAAAAGCGCTAACAAAATCTTCTGCAACCGAGCTTGCTTCGGCGTCCTTACTAGCGAGACAATAGCTAGAACGGCCTACGATGAGATCATAGTCGGCATTCAACTGTACGTACATGTTTACCAGTTGTTGGTTAAACGTCTGGATGATGCCATTGGATTGGCTGAAGAACTGCGGATAAACGAAATAGTTGATTGTATATGTGTTCTACTGATTACCACTGATTTATGTATGGATATAGAGTAGGTGTTCAAATAATACTGGTGTACCTATAGTTGCGGTAAGGGGCTTATGCTAGAGTAATGATGATCCAGATGACAGATACATTTATTTTTCATAGGTATCTTTCCTAAAATAAAGTAGATTTGCATACTGCAAACTTGAAATTAACACAAAAAATACCGAAACAATTAGTTTTCCTTGAAATCTTGACTCCTTTGCACCTATAGTTACCGACGAACTAAAGTTGTGGTAGTGTACTTATAATAGTGGAATTCGTAACCTGCATGATAAACTAGCCAACGGCTAAAAATTACGGTAGTAAATTTAAAAAAAAATGAGAAAAATCACGTTTAGCTGTTGAGATTTCGGTTAAATTTCACAGAAATCTGTGAAATAATTTTAATGTGTACATTACTTATTCATAGCGGCACCGGTGGTGTAGTGGTAAGCGTGATTGCCTCTCACCCCAGCACCCCCTGTGGAATCTCCCGTAAGCTTGGAGATTTAAAAAAAATCCTTCTAAAATATCCACAAATTCAGAATTTTTTCGAATTGTTATCGAAATGCATCGAAATCTTAACATTTATTTCATAAACAGGGTGTCGACTCAATGAAGAAAACCAAATTCCCTGATATTCCCTGATTTTCTGGTCATTTTCACACAAAAAATCCAGGGAAGTGCCTACCCGTTTTGGCAACATGATCTCATCAGCCATTACTTTCCTCAGATAGGTACACCCAACCGGTGGATGTAAGATTCGCTTACAATTATGTGGGATTCATCATCAGAGGATGTAAGTGGAGACCGCATGAACCGAGGATGCGATATACCTAGCTGCGGTCCGATGTAAGAAAATTGGAGACCGAAAAATGTGGAGTTGTATTAGTGAGTGAAATTAATTATGTCGAAAAAAAAAATAGAAAAAGGGTTGCCGACTGGACTCGAACCACGGACGTTGCGACTATCAGACCTGTGCTTTCTCCACTGCTCTCTCAATGCTTCTGAATATGGTCAGCCAAAAAGCAAACATGAAGCGCTCATTTTCTCGCATGCTCGACTTCGTATGCTTTTTCTGCTGGAGAGATTCGAGATAAGTGTGTGCGTCGTTCTACAATGTTCTACAATGTGCGTCGTTCTACAAGCTTACTGGTACCTTTAGTCGAAAGCGTAGATGCAACACGAAATAAAAATGCTCGACTTCGTATGCTTTTTCTGCTGGAGAGATTCGAGACAAGTGTGTGCGTCGTTCTACAATGTTCTACAATGTGCGTCGTTCTACAAGCTTACTGGTATCGTCGAAAGCGTAGATTGAACCCGAAATAAAAATGCTCGACTTCGTACGCTTTTTCTGCTGGAGAGATTCGAGACAAGTGTGTGCGTCGTTCTACAATGTTCTACAATGTACGTCGTTCTAAAGCTTACTGGTATAGTCGAAACCGTAGATGGAACACGAAATAAAAAAAGACAAAAAACCATTACATCGCCTGCATGGTCAATTTCTAACATTCGTTGCGATGTTCATGAACAGAGGATTATAGGAAACGGAACTAACATTCATTGTAATAGATTTTTGGTTTGCGTGTACTAGTGATTTCTGGAGAAAAACCCGAATTTATCCACCTATGGTGTGATCAGACCCTTCTTACTTATTCAAGTTTATTTATTTTATTGTCATTATCAGTGACCAAGCCCCCCACCCCCGTGTCATCCAGTGACGCTACGCCGCTGCCTGGGGGTACCCGGAATATATTCGGGTGTAGTCTATTTGGTGAGGCTACCAATCTCCTTATCATCGTATTTTAATGTGATTTAATGGGTTTTAATTCAATTCATATTCAAGCAACTTCCCCGGGGTACCCGGAACATGTCCAAGTGTGTCCAATGTGGTCTGGAACACTTAACACGACTTGCATTGATCTTATTTTTGAATTCTGTAGTTATTTTTATGTGTCGCATGATGGTTTTGATACGTTTTCCGTTAAATCCAGCGTGAAGGCCCATATTCACCGGATCTTATTCCGGCCATATCTCCGGAACCGGTTCACCGATTTCAAAACCGTTCAATAGCGTTCAATAGGACCCCAAGACCTATCATTTGGCGCCGAGTTTGTCCAAATCGGTTGAGCGGTTCCTGAGAAACGTGAGCGCATTCATTTCGTTACATACACACACATATACACACATACACACATACACACGTACACACAAACACACAGACATGTTCCGATCTCGTCGAGCTGAGTCGAATGGTATATGACACTCGGCCCTCCGGGCCTCGGATCGATAGTCCGTTTTTCAAGTGATATCTATACCCTTCTTTGTAAGAAGGGTAAAAAACATGAAGAGTGATCCAGTACAATCTCAAATTGAATAAAGATTTCGATATAGGGGAATTTACGTATTCTCGGCAATCTAAGCAGCTTCCGCACTTCTATTAACATTTTCTCAGTGTCACGCACACATATGACGTGTCTGTTTGTTTACATTTATCTGCTGCTAGCTATTCTATCTATTCCAATCGACAGAACTGTCCAAAACGGGTAGAAAACGTTTTTAAGGCGCTCCAAACTTCTCAGGTGAGTGTGACTATTGTCGGCATCCTCTTTTACTTCGGTAACCTTTCCGTTTAAATTTTGTGTTAACCAGCTGTTCTATTATCGGCAACTCGAAATCAGCCGTATTTTCATGTGCTTATGTTTAATTTGAAGAAACACCTTACATAACAGATTTTCTCAGTCGTAAAAATGTATTAGGATTGAAGCTGAAAGACTAACGACTCGTTTAAATACATTCAGCGAAGTGTTTTAGTGAGAAAATACAGCGAAAATAACGTTTAAATTGTGGTTGCCGCAGTCGATGGCTGCCGAAGCCATCATTTACCCTAGTTTATGGAATACAAAAAAAAAGAAAAATCGAGTTTCCAAGAACGGGAAGACACGATATAGCGGTGATAGCGATGTGTGAAGTAAACTGCAACCATCTCGATTAAATTCTACGATACTACACAGCAAAAAATTAATTTTAATATCACATCAATGTGGATGCACTTCAATCGTTTCGAAAATATGGTGTAATATTACTTGCCAAAAAGGATAAAATTATCATTAATACAGTGCATGACCTGACATTACGCTGCTCTTACTGCATTTGTTTATTGCTGTGACCATAAAAATTACATGAAATTTTCGGCATGATTGAAGTGCATCCTCTTGGATGTAATATTAAAATTTATTTTTTGCTGTTTATGATATTAAATGAGGTCCTTGGTATGGCAATTTTCTTACCCTTAGAAGTTCTTTTTTGACTGTTTCAAAATTCAACGCTAGAGGCAGAAATTCATCTAGTTCTCCTACATTTTACTTACTAAAACTTCACTGAGAAGCTAATTTTCCGAGGTAACCAGGAATATAAAATAAAACCACTCTATGCTGTAAATACAATGCTTATCTACGTACCTTTGAATAATTTTTCAATCATAGAAGTACTTCTTCAAGTAATTAAAACAAAATCCATTCAAGCAAGACCATTATCCTAAATTCTCGTTTTGTTGATTCTCTGAACTAATCAGGCTGTTATGAACACAATAAGGACCAATAACTACAAGTATTCAGAAAATAATCTCCCTCTTCTTTTAACTCGAAGGTTAAATTTTCTCACACGCAATTAGGTGTGCTATTAAGAGACGCACAAAAAATAACCCTTAATTAGAGTAGTTGCAACATCCAGTTCGCTACTCTTCCTTAATTTGTTTTCCGTCGATCTTGTTTTCTATACTGAGTACCAATGCTACCGATGCCGGGGAGGCAGCTGCTAAACCTGGACCCATTAACTCATGGACCTTGGACCAACGAAGTTCGCAACTCTGTTTAAAATTTGAAATTAACAACCATGCTCAAACTACACAGAATATATAAGTTGTTTGAAACAAGCGAAGACAGACATACTTTTTAATAAGATTCTGTGACTTAGAAATATGTCCCTGAATTTTAATGAAATACCAAGAGATTCACTGATTTTCCAGGTCCAAAAATGAATCCCTGATTTTCCAGGATTTTTTTTTTCAGATATTCGACACCCTGATAAATCTAGACACTTTTAAAAGTTCGTTATCAAGGCCAAATATGATCCAAATGACACGTAATCACACAATTATTATGTTGCCAAGTGGATGTAATATTGAATAAAAGAATGAAATTATCGGATTAAAGGTCTGTCTGGTATTTAGTGCAATACGGTATCAGAATTAGATTATAATCATTGTCAGAAGGCTCATCTATAGGATTTGGTCACAATTTTGGAAAGGTTGTTAGATTTATTTTAGAATACTCTTCAGAATTTCTTCGCAATTATCACCAGAATTATTTTCAGAGTATCCCTAAAATTATGTTTAAAATTCTTGTCGATTTTGACTTGAAAGATTTTTTTTGCTCAAACTTCCATTGACATTTGTCTTAATATTCTGCAGGAATTCATCTGGATTCTCTTCACAACCCTTGTGGAAATTTCCTCAGAAATTCTGAGAAGAACTACTTATGCATATTATCCATATTACCATATGCGTAATAAAAAAAAGCGAAAATATTTAGAATGTTTAAACTTTTTTATGGCGCATACTGTATTGCTACTATTCCTTAAAAATTATCCTCAGCTTTCTATTTCTTCCAAAAAATGATATTCTTCTTAGAGTTCCTTTGGAACTGTTTCAAGATTCATATTCTTGAAATTCATGCCAGGAGTTGTTTGTAGTTCTTGTCATAATTTTGGAATTATGTTTATAAATCCCTTGAAATTGTTATTTGAATTCTTCTAATAGTTAAATAAAATTAATCTAAACAATTCATTTGATTATGATGATGATGGTTCCACCTATTACCCCTACAAAGGTTTGAGCTGGACGATTTATCTTTAAGATAATTAAATATGACATTTTAACCAGGTTAGCATTTGGAATACTCTTTACAATTCCAATACAATTCTACTCTTCCATGTACTTTTACTCATAACATCTTTGGAATTCTCGCATAGCCCATGAAATCCTTTTCAGAGTTATATTGAAATCGCCACGGAATTCATTAAGAGGAAGCTTCCCGAACAAAGCTGAAGATCAAATTTTAGTCAAAATTTGCTGTTAAAATTTGACTTATTTTGAATTTTCCAGATGATCTCATTTTGGTTGACTTGCACACAGCAAAAATGAGAGCAAAATGTTACACTGTTGAATCAAACGGAAAACTAATCCGGCTTTCAATGAAATCAATTTGATTCCTGATTTTGCATTCATATTAACTGAATACGGACCTGGCGTAAATGCTTAGCATTTATGCAGCTCACTCTGAAAGACTTGAGCTCAAATCTCACCCGGGCATGTTACGAACAGTCTTGTAAGCGGTCACGGTAGTCGACACATTTTCAGTGATAAGCAACTGCCTTTTCCGCTGACACTTGAAAAACAAGCTATCATAGTACAGAACCAAATTAAAATGTCATATGACAGGCTCTGTCATACGACACTGTCGCCGAAGACCTTCACGAATGAATGAATGATGTTGTGCTAGTATGAATTCTGAAAATAGCATGCAATGATTTCCTAGTAATAACAGTTCTGATTTGAAATGGTTTAACTAACACCAAATTGATGAATTAGAACGAAATCACACATGTCATATGATAGTTATTTGAAAATTTTCTTTTTGCTCGAATGTTATTTACCGTTTGTGTTGTGTGCGGGTTACGACGTTAGAGCATGAGTGTACGAATACAAACGAACTGTCTCGCACAACAACGAAGCGAGTGTAGGAAAAAAAACGTCAATCGTTTCAACCGTTTGAACCCTGGTCACGAATGACCTAAAATGTGTTAACAAAATAAATAAACAATAATCGTTAGTTCAACGACAGATGAACTTAAATTAAATTTTAAACGAGACGTAAGCAGCAAAACATTAAGTTAAGTTTCTTTCCTTAAAAAAAAATTGGCTGCATAATGAAAGCACAATATGATATCAGACTTCTGTCGCGACAGTTGAAATCAAAATTAGTTTTCATTAAGATAGGAACTGCAAACTTTAATATCGATTTGCTTTAATTTTGTTAACCCACTTTGCTCGGGTTACGACTCATCCGTTAGTGATACGTTTTGGAAAATTTACAGACAAATCTATTGTCCAACTGTCGGATTGGTCGCACCGGATCACCAACGGATGCAATGTGCGTGAGCATTTGAGTAATTTCCTGTAGATATCAGGTGAAATTTCCGAAATATTCTCGAATCTCTAATATTTCAAAGTGCATAAATCATCTTAATCGTACTATTAACTTACCGCCGTCACATGAGAATCTGCAGCGATACGCGTAGTAGCCAAGCTGTTATCAGTCACCCCAGTCAAAAGTCCATTGAGCAATGCCAAATAGTATTGCACATCGGATTGTATGGCTGTTGCCACCGAAATCTGCGTCTGCATGGGTGCATTGAAGTCGAAGTTTGCACCATAGATACAGCTCTGTGTTGACCCGAGCAGTGCCGCATTTCTATCGACGAACGGTTGAATAAGCTGACTAGCACAAATGGGTAGATTAGTCTGTTGAATCATTAGCATCCCGATAGTTTGCATTGCTTGGTAGCCCGTGGCCAATATGTTGCTAGTCGTCGTTAAAATTTGGTCGCTGAATTTCGATCGAAATCGATCCAACTTTGAAACGACCATGTCAGTTTCCGAAGATGCATTGGCGAAATAGCTGCTGGAGAAAGTGTTCACAGCTGTGATGTCTACGCCAGCTGATGTTCCCAGATACAAATCGGTAAACCCGTTGATGGCCTTGATGAAATTGGTCACCGAATTCCTAACTGGATCATATAGACGGTTGGTGGTCGTGGTATACGTTTCCGGCAATAAGGTCACTGCGTTCCATGTTTGACTTAGGATAATGTCTAGATTGGTGAAACTTGACGTTATTTGTGAAATGTATGCTTTTAGTCTTGTATTGGATGACTGTAGAGCCTCCACAGCTGTGCGAACGGAAGGTAGTATGGTGTTCTGCTCGGTTTGTTGAAGTTGATCTATTATGGCAGTAAACTGGTTCAAAAGAGTTTCAGGAATATTGGCCGATATAGATGACGAAGGTACTGGCTTTAGCCCATATAAGGAGATCAACTGTGGATAAATCTCAAGATTCAAAATTTGGGAAATGTTTTGTAGAGATGCACTTGTTGCACTGATATCCAGTGATAGTCTAGTTTCAAAAAAAGATTCCCATAGACTACAATTGATGTCAGAAATGAAACTCAGTGCAGTTGAAATAGTATTGTTGATTTGGACAAACTGGTTGTCTATGTTAGATGATTCGTTTTGAGCAGCATTTTTGATAGTCGAAAAGATGAACATCATTCGAGAGCTCAGCCCGTCATAGGTTGTAAAGAAGCTTGCTGATATATCGTCTAGTTGCAGTGTAACAAATGCTTCATTTCGGAGAGGCCTGACTGTTGACTGGATGTAGCTGTACGTTGTAATGGCATTGCTGCAGCTTGTTGTGATGGTTGTTGATGGAGCGTAGAACCCAGTTACGGATAGACCAAAAAAGGCAAACGATGGCTGTTGAGAAATAAGGATCAGTTTGCTGGATTAAATTTGAAGCAACCTTCAATTCCAAGTACTCGTAATTATAAAAAGCTTTAATTTTTTTTTAAATCTGATTTGGACTTGATTATTAAGCAGAGGTTCTCAATATGATTTAAAAATTTTAAATAATCGCTTTTCTATACAACTAATGATTTAAATCAGATTTTTGTCTAGTTAAAATTATCCGAAGAGCACATGTGAAGATTTCAATTGCCGACTGAAAAACATTATCAAAGTCTGAACGAGAGTGATTGCGTTTATTAGATAAATTATTTTGAGAAAGTTTTGTGTGAAAATAAGGATTCTGAAAAAAACAACTTTATTCGCTACAGTATGATCAGCAAATCCAAACACATAAAGCAACCAACGAAAAAAAATTAAACGCTTGCTTCTACTACCACGATAAAATCTATCTGTAATATAGCTTGATCTAAGTTGAACAAGGATAATGATACATTGCTTGCCTGCTTTGTTGAAATCTACACGGTTGAGGACAGAGCTTGATCGGAATCGAGAAAAGACATAAACAAAATCCCAATAACACACGTGCAATCATCTTCAGCGTTACTTCATGAAGCAGCTTGCTAACAGTTTGGTCGTTTCCTTCTACCCGAGCTATATTGTAAAGGCAGTTTTTCATGAAAAAAGGGAAAAGATTATATCATTATTGCTTTCCATTTCTGACATCGGCTCGTGAATCGCTTTTTTTTTTGGCAATCATTCAAATGCGTGCTGTAATTCCTCCATATTTTTAATAAAACTGCATATTCTACAACGTTTGTCAGTTTTAAAGTGTCCAATTTGAATGTTTCAGCAAAGCTAGTATTTTTTATAAACTTTAAATATATTGAGAAAAGATCAACTTTTTTAATGGCAACTTTGCCTCAGATGCCATTTTGATTAAAAGAGACGTTTTCGGACTATGACTTATTTTAAAATATCGAAATCAATCACGCAAAGTAAAAACACTTGTCCGGAGACGAACCAGCTCTAGGCTAAAAACCTCTCTAATAAAGAAAACTAAACTTAACTTAAAACCACTATTGAACATATGAGACAAACGCTCATCTTTTGGTAATGTTGATTTGTATAATTAAGTTTTTGTTTTCGCGAAATGGACGATAGAAGTCAAAAGTGACAGTAATGTTATATTGAAGTTTACCTGTACGCCATTTTGAAACATGATGTGCGAGTCAAAATAACCGAATTCGAGCCCGTAGTGAACAATTAAGCAACAATTAAGCTTTCTATAAATTTCAAGATCAGAACTTTTATAGTAAAACAACAAAATTATAGTGAGCTTAACTTTACTTGCTTAACTAGACACCGTCTTCTTGCACACTATGTTTTATTTGAATCTATGATGGTGCTGCCATATATTAGTGGCGGTTAACGCGCGCTTACTATCGGGTGTATCGCCGTGTAAAGTTGTTTATTATTTTCCTCTGGCTAACATAAAAAATGTATGAAATTATTTGTATATCTGTCAAACATAATTTTACAGCGATTTTTAATGTATTTTCCTCGGATTTTCACAACCGGACGTGAACATCTCTATAAACGCTGAGATGAAATTCGCATGCGAAGATTATTTTTTTCAGTGCAGAGAAGAAGAAGTTGATGATAGAAAAAATAAAGAGTGAATTTTCAAATAGCCGTATTGACTTTTGTAAACAAAGATTCAAACCTCACTTTGTCGAAACTATTAGCACACTCACGCAAACTAACCCCATCAACAGGTAGCGAAAAGTTTTCACAATATTTACAACGATCACTCTTGATTTTTCCATCTTTCAATGTAGACTATGGAAAATTAAAATGCCTTTCATACAAAACAAAAATTAAAAAAAAAAACATTTTATTTTTAAATAATTATTTTTTAGCACAGCTTTTTTTATTTTTGTATGTTTTTTATAAGACTTTTGACAAATTTCTGCAATTCATTCTTTGAACATATATCGTTTATTTTTGTGATTAGATTATATAGAAAAGAAATTTAAAAATAAATCTACCATTTTCAATGGAAATCAGGATTTTTGTCTAGGGAAACAAATATAAAAAGTTGCTTAAATAAAGAAAGTCTTTATACTCAAGAAGTTTCATTGCAATCTGAAAAGATTTTTTTGTGAATTTCACGCCAACAACTGATTCTCAGATTTCAATGAAACTTTGTGGATGTACAGAATTCGTCTACTGCAATACTTATTTTTCTTGTGAAAAATCTAGACAAGTAATTTATCCATACATTGCAAGATGGGTACTGTTATAGGAAAATAGTTTTACTAACAAAAATTATTTCTTGTCTGCGCTGAAAGAAATTTAACATGGATAGATATATTAGTTTCACTAGAATACGGCAGTGTGAAAATTTAACAGAAGTTTAAATTGAGCGAAAGGCCATTAGTGCGACAATACTAATCAAATGCGCACTCCTTTACCTAATTCACACTTTGATGGTTTAGAGACAATAATCACTACCTAATCCCCAGTTGTAAAATCATGAAATCTGAAATGACGGGTTTCTTGTTGGCCACTTCTCCGCCAATGTCATAATAAATGCATGGTCTCATATTCGAATGCCGTTTGGTTGAACTGTTTGCCCAAATGGGCTGTTTGGCGTGACGAAGAATTGATCAATTTGCGAGAAATAATAGATTCCTCAAGCATACTAGAAAGTATCACTTAATGAGTAAAAATTCACAACTTTAAAAGAAAGGCGACTTAAGTCATTGACCCATTTGGCCAAAGGAAACGGCAGTTCTGGTGTTCTACTAACCGACTGGCCAAATAACAGGACATCCTATAAATTAATGTAATTTCACTGCATAGGGAAAAAAATAATTCAGTTTTTTGTTAAAATTTTAGTTTTTTTTTGTTAAAAGTTAAAGTCTGTATAAAATTAGATAAATTTCTACTCGTCTTTTAACTATTTCCTGGAAGTATAAAGTTTTATTATGCCATTAGTTTTTTCTCAATATTAGCTTTAAATTGGAAGCAATTATTTGGCAAAGTTATGCACTCGACTGACACTGCTTTAATTTCTCTGAAAATAATTTAAACATTTAGATAAACACTCGCGGTCATTCACCAAGACGAAAATCACTCGACTCGAATCGTATAAATCATGAGAACCTCTATCACTTGAAAGAACGCTGCAGAACTCACTTGAATCAGAATCCCCAGCAACAGTGGCAGTGAACAAACGGTTGACTGCATCGTGTCGGTGCAACATGTCACGTTAGACTGCAGGTTGTGTTTAGGGTGGTAGCTTTCGAAAGCCAAATTTTCTTCCAGTGGATCGATGCAACTGAGTCAATATTATGTTTCAAACAGAAAATACTGTGAAACAACATTTCCTGAATTTTAGATCGTGTCGTAATTATATAGAAAATTTGAAAACTTTACGATCAGATATGTACTCAATAAATCTAAATGGAGCACCAAATGTTCAAATAAGGTAATATATGTATCAAGAGAAACTGGCCGGACGTTCTGTGACTATAATTTAGTATTCATTCTACACTTGACTGCGACAATGAAAAGTTTGATATTTTTAGTCGTATTTCTTAAGGTAAAAATTTACCGAACAGCAATGTGCGCAATTTCACTAAATTATTTTGAATTTCAGATTGGCCTTGCTGAATTCTTCTTTGGACTGGACGTCCAGGGTGGATTCAAAACCGAAACGGACATTTCAACAGCAGCCTTGGCTATAACAGCGCCATTTGCTGCGCTGCAACCATCGATCGCGAATCTGAATAAAAGTTTGCCACTAAGTACGGCCACTCTGGATGATGCAGCTAGAGCTATAATCTTTCTCTACAGTGGAATAGTTGGTCCAGTGGACAGATTTATCAAAGCAATGGCAGAGTCTGCGACTGACAAATTTACATTTTCTACTTTTCTATTCGATAGAATATTTGTATCATTATTTACAGCGCAGCAATTTATCGACGATACGCCTCAGTATATAAGTAAGGTTACTGAACTGTCGTCCACTTTGGGCGGTGATATATCGCAGCAGTTCAACGAAATTGATAGTCTTATGAGGGATTTGTCCTATACGATGGCCGCATTCGAGGATGCCGTGGCTGCAGTCAGCTCGAACTCGCAAATTACGCCTAGTTCAATCTACAGCGTTCTCAACAAGTATCAATTGGCTAATTTGATCGGTGCATTGAATGTGTTCAATTATCAGATAACAGTTTTAAAGAGTCACATGGCTAACGTGATATCAATTATAATGACGTCCGATGGTTTTATGAGTTCTTACACATCTACACTGACTACGGCTTTCGCTTCATTGGATGTGTCTTTGACAAGTTCTTACAACACCATAACAAATGTAGGAGCTTCATTTGTGAAGAAAATTACCAACACTGTTAAACAGTTGTCCATGGCCATAAATAATTTTCGATCTCAGATAAATGCCTTTACCGACAACATCATCAATGCAAATGCCACGAGCATCATAAGCCAAACGGAAGAATTTATCTCATTCTACATCTTCTTTATGAACATTCTGAAACCCAACTCGGAAGATAAGTTTAACAGTGTAGCTTACATGGTGACAGACTCTGTTCAAACTGCTGCTCGTGATATACTGTTCAACGCTTATCAAACGTTGAATAATGCGATAAACAACCTTCCGTTAAAATCGTCAACATGTGCAACTACCTATCTAACGCCAATGGTCACATCTTTATCGCAAAACATTCCAACTTTACGAACCTGCCTCAATCTGCTGGATCCTCAATATGTGGCCTACGACCAGATAGCACTCCTGAACAAGCTACTAAGTGATCGTTTGTACTACGTAAGCTTGTGGACCAACGCAATCAGTGGGGTGACATCGTACAGTTCTGCTAGTAATCGAAAAACTGCTATCCTCAAAATTCTTGCTGTATGTTCCAACCCAAAAACAAACTCAAAATATCTGGTGGTTGCATTTTTTTTTATTCTTTCTAGGAAACTCCAACAGGCAACGTGGATGTCCAAACACCCGCTCTAATAGCCACGTACAGTATTTTTGCACAGGTTGTATCCAACTTCAACAGCCTGCAGAACCGTGTCGTCATGTGCTTGACCCTGAAGAGTGTTGACTTTTCAGCGTTGGTCATTTCGGCTTCGAACAGCTATTTCGGCTGCATCAATAAGTAATGGTTGATAACTTTCAACGGCACTTTGCCGGGCAGTAAGATAAGAGGAATAAACGAATGGTTCTTTATTTTGCAACGTGGAAATCAGCCGCATGGGATGTTGTTTTGATCTACCTGCCGAAAACCGAACGGAAATGTAATTTGTCATTGTTTTTGTTTTGAACTGTGATGCAGCACTGTCGATAAGAAGTGTAGGGGCCAATTAGGCCTCTAGACAGATGATAAGATTCGTGCAGGACCGTCGTGGCAATTTTTGTGGAACTATTAGGTTGGGAAAGGTAGCGTCTATGGAAGCTATTTTGATAGGTTTTAATAAATGTAAGCTATTTGCATAGAAAAACTATCAAATGCAAAAAAAAAGGTGATTCATTCGGGAGTTTAAGAAAAACCTATAAAATATTAGAAATTTCATCCACAGAACATTCAACTAAATTCCATAAAGAATCATAAAATAATATCCAAGACAGTATTTTTTCATAGATTTTTCCAAACGCTCCCCCCTTTTGATATTCAAATTTAATTACTGTTCAGAGGAGTGTTGGAGAAACATAAAAAATAACAAAAGACTCACAAATATATCGAGGGACTGAGAGTTACATAATTATTAATCATTTGGTCACATACCTGAAAAGATAGAAAACAATAAAAAAAAAAGTTAGTGAATTGGTATGTTGTAAAGTTGGCTAAAGCCAGAGCACCCCAAACTATCAGACATGTGAGAACGATCCTAAAGGGTGTCCACGATGAAATTGCCACACACAAAATTGATTCGCAAAATTCGAGTTTTCATCCGATTGCCATCAAATTTTCAGGGATTGAGAAATAACTATTAAACTTCATTTTACCATTTTACTCGTATTTTATTTACAGTCCATACGCAAATGCCCGCACCTTGGCCTTAACCCCGGCCATAAGATTCTGCACAACCTGTGAATCAACCGTTTTTTGCATGTAAACCCATACTTTCTTAGCCTTAGTTTTGGCCTTCTGGACAAAACTTCGGCTTTATGTGCAGCTTCTTAGCCACATCCCTAACGGAGGCGTTCGGATTTCGGTTGAAGGCCCCAACTACGCGGTTGTGATTTTTGGTGCTGTACGGAATACTTTTTCCTTCACTTCTGGGTTTCCGATCGGTGGTCAACCGTTCCTCGAACCGCTTAATCACTCGCGACACCGTGGAATTCGCGATTCCCAACGTTTTAGCGATGGAACGATGCGAGAGATCCTTGTTCTCGTGATGAATGCGCAAGATTTTATCACGCACGAGCTGTTCTTTCGACTCCATTTCCGCGAGTTTTGATCACAGGACTTTAAAACTTGCAGGATGTAAATAATGCACTATGAACTAAATCCACCCAAATTTTATTTATTAAATTTCTACCCAACGGTTAAAAAGTTAGAGCAATTTCATAGTGTGGCAATTTCATCGTGGACACCCTTTACAAAACATTTTGAATTCTATGATTATTATTATTTCTAGCACCCTCCTTAAACATATGTTACAATACTATACTCGATGAAAGATATAATAGGTTAGAGAATTACTTCGGCCTAAACGCCAATTTTGGGCCTATCAAATATAAAACATCAAAAAAATCCATGATTTAGGCGTTAACCTTTGCGTGCCTAACGTCAGAATTTGCATATATTTCAAAATTCAATTAGCTCTAAAAACATAATTTCTCAATATTTTTCTTCAAAACAAATTGCATTTTATCGGGAATCTATTGAAGATTTTGAATCCATCTGAAAATATTTGGATCAATACATGGTTCCGGAATTATTCCGGTTCCCGTTGGGGTCACTTTTGGTCGGCATTCGGCTTTACTGTTCTGTAATAAGTATACACACGATGAACATCATGTTTTTTCTCTCAAATGATGTAATTGAACCAATGGTCCACGATCACATTGGGCATCCCGGAAATGTTCCGGTGCCCCGGGGAAGTAGCCAATTCTCAACATGTCGCAGTTGGTCGCATGATGGGTTTTGGTTCTCAAGACAGTTGAGAATTGGCCACTTCCCCGGGGGCACCGGAACATTTCCGGGATGCCCATTGTGATCGTGGACCGTCGGTATAGCTGCCATTGGTCCAATTACATCATTTGAGAGAAAAAACATGATGTTCATCGTGTGTATACTTATTACAGAACAGTAAAGCCGAATGCCGACCAAAAGTGACCCCAACGGGAACCGGAATAACTCCAGAACCATGTTTTAATCCAAATATTTCCAGATGGATTCAAACACTTCAATAGATTCCCGATAAAATGCAACTTGTTGTGAAGAAAAAGATTGAGAAATTATGTTTTTAGAGCTAATTGAATTTTGAAGTCTATGCAAATTCAGACGTTAGGCATGCAAAGGTTAAAAGCATTTTAAGGAAAATTCAAAAGAGAGTTCCAATGATGTTCTGAAATTAATCCTTATGTTGTTTTGAAGGGTATACCAATGGACTTGTTTAGAAAAATGTGGAGAGAAACTCAAGTATATTCTTGCGCGAAAGTGTAATTTATTTCATTTTCAGTCGAGTGTTTGACTGAGACACACACTTAGAAATAACTAATTTTACACGTGACGGAATTCGTAATGAGACGTAACCAAACATGTCATGTAATATTAAGTGCTTCAAGACTGAAAAGTTCGTTGCTCGACGAAAAGTACGTTTAATTGAGCTATGTTTTGCGTCTGTTATGACTCAACTTTATGTCAGAATTGACGCTCGTCACTCTCAGAGCACCTAAATTTACATGTTTTTTTTTCTTAGTGTCAGTCCAGTTTCACTGTTCGGTCTTCGCAGTAAACTGTCCCTAGTGCTTTTGTTTTGTATTATTCCACATTGGTTTTGTATTTTCGCAATCGTCCTGAACACATCATGGTGATCATGTGTTAGTACCTCAAGCAACCAGCATCTTCAAGGAAAGCACCAATGACAGCCGAGCCATTAAACTGTGGAGAATCTTCATACAAGGAGGTGACCAAACATATTGTCTTGCTTATTCTGCATTGTCCGACAAGTTTCGTAGGCACTTACTGCTTAATTAACATCTTTTTGATTCCTGGAAGTCTTCTAAGTTTTTATAAATGGTCTGGAGTTTAGTTCTTGATCTATAGACTCAATGTGGTTTGATACGCACGTTCCTGACATATTGAACACATCATCAGAGCTTTGTAAAGAGAGCCTTTTATTTTTTCGTAAATTTTCTCACACACACGTCTCTTACCGATGATATGTGCTTACCTCTCAGTATGTTCAATCTTTATTATAAACAATTAAATTGAATGCAAGTCGCTAAACCGTAAAGCCACTGTTATTTATATTATCTTTCAGTCGAGTTTTTGATTGTCCCTTAGTCATAGTGATGTCAATGACTTTGAAATGTAGATTATACTGGCATATAATTCGAATAATTTGGTTTGTATGATTTTCTGAGGAAAAAATGCGTGTTCTTAGATACCGACGGACTGTGTTAAAGTTTACCTTTTATTTTTTTTTTTTCTTAGTTAGAGTAACTTTCAGCTAGTGGCTGGTTCGTTACTTAAGTTTAGTTGAGAGAGTAGTGCTGCTGATTCTATGCGATGTCAATGATGAAGAAAACAGGGTGGTCACCAAATTTTAATTTTTGAAATGCCAGCTTTTCCCGGTTTTGCCGTTTTAAATCTTAAAAAATCCCGGTTACTAATATTCAACAACTTTTATTCGAATATTTAAAAACACCACGACGACCATGAGCCACTCTTCCGTCTCACCACTACTATCAATACAATCTGAAAAATCACATAATACAATACAATCCCACCTTGCGCAAATGCTAATGGGTGATATGATGATGGTGATCAGTCGATTTCGTAAAAAGTGTTCCCCTTCTGCAAAACCTGATATATAGCGCAACGCACAACACAACTCCAATATAGAGCGCACGCACAATATGATCTTCCCCTCATTCTAGAGTAACTTGAACCACTCTTGATTCAATTGATTGAGTAAGACAACATAATAAGGAAGATAAAGTTGATTTGCTTACCAAAAGAATTTGTAAATTCACTAAGAATTCCAGATCTTTTTTTTCAGGAAAAACTAAATTCTCTTAGGATTTTCGGCTTTTCCTGAAAATCGATTTTTATTTGATTATCAAAATCAAAATAATATATTAGTGATTGTAAGTAATTGTGTGTATCAAGGCATAATAATTCAAAATAAGAAAATGGAGGCTATTAGCTTTATTAGGGAGCAATTTGCCCTAGGCATGACTTCTTACTTACAGTTTGCAAAACTTGAATAAAATCTTGTTTGTTGATGGTTTTTCTGTGACGCACCATTTTCCATGTTTGTCTTTTGCACGTTCTCTCGTTCTCTCACTCTCTCTTTCTCTATTCGAACAGACCCCAGAAACCTTACTTCATTTCTTTGTTCTGTCAGCCAATACGCCCCCACATTTCTGTCCTCTAAACTTTGGTTTGTTTGAAAACAATCTACTGCATAAAAACATGCATATGTTTGTAAGCTGAAACACGTGCACATGCAAATGTTGGAGTGCTGGTGTTTTGGAGAATGCTGGTTTTTCCTTCGTATCTACGTTTTATCACACTACTACTGCTGCTGGACTGACTGGAATAGCCCCGACCATACGGTGCAAGCAAGGCATGGCACGTAAAAGCAACCATATGTGTTGCTGACGCAGAAACGCGGAATTCTTTCACCGATAAATGTATGCCACGTTCAATGTCACTGGAAATGATCGACCGACGACGCGACGCGATGGTCGCTGTTGCCGGATTTGATTAATTACAAACATTACGCTCGTTATTGGGTCATTATCTGTGATAAGCTTAATCTTGATTTATTAGAACTACGGTCTCAAAAATCAATTCCAAATTAAAACAACTTGGTGGATTCGGTTTGTTTACCTAAATAGTATAGTGGTTGGGCGAGTATTATTTATCAACAGACGCTACACGCACGTGAGAATTCCATAAACTGCGTTCGTGACAATTATTATATTACCCGACAAAATGAGTCACTCACGTGTCTTACGGCGATTTATTATATTACCACATCGACTGCACTAGATTAAAGTGTTGTAAAAGGCACACAGGCTGATGGCATTGAAATTTGATTAATTCCGAGGAAGTATGCTGGTTACGAGGCAATTACCTACTGCCGATGCTGAAAACGAATTATGACAAAGCAGTTCCGGATCAGAAGAACAGCTGCGATTCTCGTGAGTGTGTGTGTTGTGCGATGGGAAAGTACATTAGCCTGTTTAGAATCGGAGTCAATTGAAATTGTGATCACGTTGCAAAGTTAATTTGAATTTAAAATTAACTCGGTGGCGTCTGAATCAGGGGCTTGCGGCGGAAGGCACTGAGCACAAACGAGAAGTGACAAATTGATTGCTATGAGATGAATGACCGATCATATGCACCTGAAAGGATTTAAACTGTTCTTTTTAAGATTATCTGACTATTTTCCTCGTTCAAGCGAAGCAATAGGGCATAATACTTAGGCGGTAATCAGATCCATGTAGCGGTTATTCCGGGCAATAACTTCTGTTCAAATACCTACACTGATAAGACGTTATCTTGTTATCAAGTTCCTGATGGACTATTATAGAACC